CCAAACCCAAACCCAAACCCAAACCCAAACCCAAACCCAAACCCAAACCTAAACCAAACCTAAACCAAACCAAACCAAACCAAAACCAAAACCAAACCAACTAAAACCAAAACTAGGCTGGTGCATCCCAGCATCCCAGCTCTTGGGTCATCATCAGCTAAGTCTTTCCTACTCTGCTCTCCCTCCCTTAATGGCATGGTAGCCCTCTATCCGACTGGTGGCATGAGAGGAGAAGTGAGTTGGGAATGGCCGGGGGTGATGAGACCTCAAGTGACCACTACGAGAACAGACCTCTCAGCGGACAGCTTCATTGAGCAGCTCCTTTAATTAGGGGGAACAAAGGCTATTTAAACCTTCAAGGCTTTGGGGGGGCTAAGGTGTTGGGAATGCCTTATTTGCATGAAGAAGAATTCCGGGTGCTTGCTGGACATGGCCTTATAAGGAGAGAGGAAGTTTAACCTGTAACCTGGCCACCAGACTACATGACCACCCCAAGGATAGCAGAGGTGGGGGTCATAAAGCTACATGTACCAGGACATGCAGGCTCAGGACAGGGAGGAACCGGTCCTACTCCAACCAGTCTCAAGAAGAGATTTTTGGGATTTGGACACGCCTTGACCTCACCCTTGTTTCAGGCTGGCTTCCCTGGTCACACGGCTCCTCTGCCCACACAGCGACATAGCAAATTTGAGGTCTACCTGGGCTACGAAAGAGCCTGTCTCAATTCCAAACAAATAAGACACGGTCGGAATGAAAGTAAAACTTCAACTTTCCCTCCTTCCCCAGTTTTCTTCCTAGCTCTTTTTCTCAGGGAACACCTGGTTAGACTTAGAGTGGCCGTTTTTCTTGCTGGTGTGCTATTGCCAGCTTTGCCGTCTTGGAGATGGTGGCACTTTGCTAACAGGGCTCTGATTCTGGTTGGCTGTAATGTCCGTCTTGGATTCTAGAAAAGCATGGCTTCCACTCTGATTAAATTCACTTGAACAGCTAATTGCAATCCTTTGATTTTATTTAGTCTGTCGTTGACAGATGCACAGGAGTTTGGTAATACACCCCAAGACTTCTAAGAAAATAGTTTCTAAGCTGAAACATGCTATAAAGGATAACAATTATTAAAAAAAAAATAGTTATCTCTCAAACCTTCCAAACTAAGTTATTTTTTTGTCTACCAGGATTGAATGGAGGTAACAGGGGCTATTGAAAATAGCACATAGTAGGTGTGGTAGTTTGAATAAAGATGGCCCCCACAGGTCCATAGAGAATGGCACCATTAGGAAGTGTGGCTTTGTTGCAGTAGGTACGGCTTTGTTGGAGGAAGTGTGTCACTAGAAGGTGGGCTTTGAGGTCTCAGAAGCTCAAGCCGGTCCAGTGTCTCTTTTCCTGCTGCCTGCAGATCCATATGTAGAACTCTCAGCCATCTTTCCAGCACCGTGTCTGCCTGCATGCCACCATGCTTCCCAAAATGAAGACAGTAGACAAGACCTCTGAACTGGGAGCCAGCCCCGGTTAAATGCTTTCCTATATAAGAGTTGTTGTGGTCATGGTATCTCTTCACAGCAATGGAAACCCTCGCTAAGACAGTAGGGACAAAGAAATGGTTCAGCAGTTAAGAGCACATAGTGCTCTTCCAGAGGACCCAAGTTTGATTCACAGCCCTCATGTGGGTTGGTTCAGAATCAACTGAATCTCCAGCTCCTAGGATCTGACTCCTCTGTCCTCTGTGGCCCTGCTAGTCAGTGCACCTGTCTACACGGAGACACACACCCATACACATAATGAAAAAAGACAGGAAATTATAGCCAATGAGTCCTTACACAGATCCAGGGAGCCCTCAGAAGCAAACACTTATTAAATATCTGCGGTGTTCAGAGATCAGTGAACTGGGGTCAGAAAAAGAATCAAGCCATTTCCCACATGATCTCTGAAAAGTCCTACACTTGTCTGGAAACAGAATGGTTTATATCCTGGTCAGGGTTTCTACCGCTGTGATAAAACACCAGAGACTGTCTTAGTGACTTTGCCATTGCTGTGAAGAGACCATGACCAAGGCAGTTTACAGAAGGAAGAGTTTATTGGGGCTTATAGTATCAGAGGGTGATTCTATGGCCATCATGCCATTGTGGTGGGAGGCCCGGCAGCAAGGAGGTACAGTGCTTGAGCACGGGTTGAGACAGCAGCCATGAGGCGGGGGGGGGGGGGGGGGGGGGGAACTGAAAATGGTGTGCACTTTTTGGAACCTCAGAGCGCGTGCACAGTGACACACCCCCTCCAACAAGATCACACCTCCTAATTCTTCTCAAGCGTTTTCACCAACGGGAGACAAGCACTCAAACCTATGAGCTTTGGGGGCCGTTCTCACTCAAACCACCCCATGACGAAGGCAGCTTATCAAGGAAAGCATTTAATTTGGCTTGTGGTTCCCGAGGGTTGTTTCTGTTTTGGGTGGGTGGGTGGGGTGGAGCAGCTGAGAACACATGTCTGGAATTGCAAGCAGAAGGCAAAGGACTGAGGTTGATATGAGTCTTCTGAAACCTGAAACACCTCCTCTTACAAGGCCACACCTTTCAATTCTTCCCAAACAGTTCTACCAACTGTGGACCAAGTATTCAAACATATGAGCTTTGGAGGCCATTCTTATTCAAACAGCCACAATTTACCAATATAGAAAATTAAATAAGTATTGAGTAATAAAATAGAGTCTCAGATAAGTAAGAACCATAATTTTAACACCCCCCATACACACTTTGTTTTTCCTAAGACAGGTTTTCTTTCTGTAGCCCTGACTGTCCTAGAACTCACTCTGTAGATCAGGCTAGCCTCAAATTCATGCAGATCTGCCTCCTTCTTCCTCCCAAGTGCTGGGATTAAAGGCATGCTTCACCACTGCCTGGCCAGTTTAACATTTAAAAAAATACTCTCAAATAGAAATTCCTTAGGTTGGTGCTTTTTCATGACTAGTAAACAAAATCCAATTTTCTTCCTTAGTGATGTGCCTCCTTGAATCTTTTTTCTTATGAGTGTAATTTTATTTTTAAAATATTTATTTTATTTTATGTGCATTAGTGTTATGCCTGCTTGTGTGTATGTGTGCCACTTGATGCCTGGTGCCTGTGGAGTTCAGAAGAAGGTGTCAGATCCCCTGGAGTTGGAGTTATGGATGGTTGTGAGCCACTGTGTGGGTGTGGAATTGAAACTGAGTCCTCAGCAAGAGCAGGCAGTGCTCTTAACCACTACGCCATCTTGCCAGCCCTTGATTGTAGTTCTTTATAGATTCTATATGCAGGATATTTTTGTTTGTTTGTTTTGAGACAGGGCTTTTCTGTTTAACCCTGGCTGTCCTGGAACTTACCCTATAGACCAGTCTAGCATTGAATTCACAGAGATCTGCTAGCCTCTGCCTCCTGAGTGCTGGGATTAATGGTATGCAACCATCCGGTTTACAGGCTCTTTTTTGGTTATACATATTATATGACCCTGCAAATTTTGTTCTTGCCTAGGTTTTTAGTTTAGTTTTGTTTTGTTTTGTTTTTTCATATATCTCTATAGTAACATTATTGGGCAGAAATGTAATGCAATCTCCATATTTTGATTTTTAATTTTGCTTGTAGTAGTGATTTAAGTTTATGTATATTATATATGTTTTTATATAATATATTATGTGCTAAGTAAATGGCATGCTAAGTAAATGCAATGATGACTGGCTTTGTCAGGTGCTTTGCTGCCGGTATCTTGTTTCAATGTGACTGGTATTTGTGGTTTCTGTCTGTTAAGAATATTGTTATCTTGGAGAAAGTCTTTTGACACTCCCAAGACTATGATGGCTAGTTGGGTGTGGTGGCATGTGCCTTCAGTCACAGCTCCCAGGAGTCTCTGTGAGTTCTGTGACAGCCAGTGCTGTAGAGGGAGACTCTGTCTTTGAAAAAATGTAAAGGCCCAGATCTAAGAGCTGGGATAAGGAGAGCACCCCCTTAGACTAGCAGAGGCTCATCTATACAGGCAGGCAGCTGGAAGATGGCTATGACATCTAGAAAGCCAACCCTGTACCTTGTCCTCCATTTGAGGGGTGGCTGTTAATTCGTCAGTTTGCATTCCTTGTGGGTAGTGATGGTTTTACTCTGTGCTATAGACATTTGCCCTGACTTAAGTTTAGAAATTATAAATTTCAGTAATAGATGAATCTCTGTTTAAAATGTCTATAATAGTTTCATTGCATGGTGAACATAAAAATGATAAATTTTATCTATCTATCTATCTATCTATCTACCTATAATATTTGACATTTGTAGTCAACAGTTTAAATTTCTAGGCCATGGTCTACATTCTTTATTATGTAGAAATCTTCAGTATTTGGTACCTTGCTGTTATAGCAAATCCTAATTCAGACTATATTACAGGGGTAATGGATGGCTAGCAATATTAGTGAGCACACAAATCTACATCCATATTATTCATCGTCAGCCAACAGCATCTGGAGGATTGGTTTTCTGGTGGAAGGTCAGTAGTAGGACTTGGAGGCTTCACGTCACGGTTAGTGGTGATCAGGGTGCTGTGTCTTTTCTAGTACTGTAGCAGCTGCAGCGCCTCTCGGTTGCCAAGCAACGGCGTCTCCCTGAGCCCCGTGGCTAAGAGCGCCTGCCGCCTCTCCGCAAGGCGGGACTACATCCCCCACAATGCCGCGCGCAGCGTGCTCTGGCCCGGGAGAGGGGGCAGGGCGCCCGGGAGGCGGAGCGGAAACGGAGAGCGGAGTCTCCGGGCGCTGAGCGCTCTCGGTCCTACCTCCATCCTGGCCCCGAGGCTGTTGCGGCGCCGCGCGGCGGGCTGTGGCTGCAGCTCCGGCTCGCGAGCCCCGCGGCGGCGGCCGGCGTGATTGACGGGCAGGCGGCGGGCCAGGTAAGGCACGGAGGATCGGGGAGGCGGGAGGCGGTGTCCTCGCGGCCCGGGCTTTGCGGCTTTGACAGCCTGTACCCTCCGGCAGGGGTCGGCTGCGCTTAGCAGGGATGGGCAGTCGCCGGGGCCGCTCACACTTGTGCTCCGTTCTTGACAGCTCAGTTCTCCCTTTCGGAGAAGGGACGTGAAATGCCCTTTAACCCTGCACAACTCTTCTCCTGGAAGGCTGGTGGGGAGGAACTTCGTCTGCTATCTGGTGCGGGTGGTGGTGGTGGTGGTGGTGGTTGAGTGGCCAGGCAGCCGGGATTCGAACCCTTGGCGTCTCGCCGCTTCCGTCAGCCTAATCAAAGGCTCCAAGCCCGATTTGTTTCACCCAGCAGATAGAGATCACACATAGTTTTAGGTTGTTAGATTTACGAATAAATAAACTGTTAACACCATGAGCTCTTCATTTGCTGAAAAGATGTTTTGAATGTGATACGAAGTGGTGTGGACTTTTGTGTGTGTGCGCCTTGTGTAATCCTTAGGATTCTCGGATGTGTGCCCACTTTATAGTTTACTCAACCTTAGATGCAAAGATTCCATAAGATATGCCGGCTTCTTAATTTCCTCCCTTTAAGATGGCTGTGAGTATTCTAAGGAAATTGATGACTCTGCTTTCCTGGGGATCAGCTCCGGAGGTACTGTACAAGGACTCACTCACCTCCCCCACCGCCCCAGCCTCGTCCTGTGGGAAACCCTTAAAAGGAGATTAAAGGCTTTGTCAGTCAGCATCCAGGTCTTTTGCAGCTTTCCCCACGTCAACTTTCTGTACTGTTTTCACTGGTTCAGTCTTTACTCCTCTGAGGATTTCCCTTTTTTTTTTTTTTTTTTACCCCCCCCCTTTTTTTTTTTTTTTTCCAGACAGGGTTTCTTTTTGTCCCCTTGGCTGTCCTGGAACTAGCTCTGTAGACCAGGCTGGCCTCAGAAATCCACATGCTTCTTCCCCCTGAGTACTGGGATTAAAAGCGTGTGCCATCACCGCCCAGGACCCACTTAGGATTTCTGTTTCCAAGTTGTAGTTTCTGTTCTGGAGACGCATTGACTGCAGTACCCCCAATTCGGAACGACTTCAATGAATACGCATCAGCCCGGCTAATGCCAGCTGCTTTTGCACAGCTTTCTCAATCTTATTCACATTGATGATGGGTTTTCAAGGAAATCAAAGAAAATTATAAAATCTTTGTAGATTTTAAACTGAATTTCCTTTTCCTTTAAGATGTCTGCTCTGTATGTACAATTTTGAGTTGAGCCACAATTGTGCAGTATGTGAAATGATTGTTATTTTGAAAGTATGGTGGTCGTGGGGCAGTGGAGCTGGTGGGCTTGATGAATCAATTGTGTAATGAAGGAGACTTCTACCGATTGTGAGAAGAGTAACAGTTATCAATGAGAAGCGTGGAAGAAGGCTTACACATGGGAACATGGCTGATTAGCCTTAACATGTGTAGCAGAGACACTGTTTTGAAGATGCTTTTGCTGGTGTCACTGAGTGTAGTAGAGGAGAAGGTGATGACTGCAGAAATGGAGACCTTGATTCCTGTCCTCTTCTGCTGCTGTCCGAATGACCTTAGCTTTGCCTTCACTGCAGTTTTCCTTGTGTCTAAAATAGTGAATTGATGATTCCAAGGACTTGTCTCAGACTTTCAATGCTAAGGGTTTTGAAATCCATTTAAATGTAGGTCAAAAAAAGATATAAATTCCTTTACTCATGTATTTGTGTCCTTGTTCCCTGCCTTCTAGGTTATATAGTTTCTCTGTCTACTCTGCTAAAAAGGGATTTTCACGAAAGAGCTGCAGAAACCACGGTCCCTACCAGGCAGCACCCCGCTCTCCTGTGCTTATGTCTCCTCTTCCTTTCTTTTGCTGGTGGCTGTGGGTACCTTCTCTTGTGCTTATTCATAGCTTTTATTCTCACTTCTCTTAACCCATTTTCATTTTTGCCCTTTATGAATTCGTGCACTTCGGTTGTTTTCTCTCTGGCCTCTTTTTGCAGAAGGCCCCTGGCAAGGGTGCCTAACACTAGTTAGCTGTGGAAAGGGGTGTAGGGCTCTGCGATGCACGTTAGGATTGGCTAAGGTCAGACTAATGGGAACATCTGAGGCCGCATCGCATTTTAGATTAAACGTGCACAACAGCACAGTGATTAGGTACTTTCCTTTGCTATAGTGCTTCCTCTTTTCATCCTCACCTTATTTTGCCCCAACCCCTTTTTGGATTTGTTTGTTTGTTTATAAGACAATATCACGTAGCTCTGGTGGGCTGTAACTCACCATGTAGACCAAACTGGGCTCCAACTCACAGATCAACTTGCTTCTGCCTCTCTTGTGCTGGAATTAAAGTTGTGTGCCACCAGGCAAGAATTCTTTAGGGTACCTTATTCCCTCCTTTTAAAAATTTTTAATCCCAGCACTTGGGAGGCAGAGGCAGGTGCTCCCTTGTGAGTTCAAGGCCAGCCTGATCTACAAAATGAGTCCAGGATAGCCAGGGCTATGCAGAGAAACCCTGTCTTGAAAAACTAAAAAAAATAATAAAAATTTAAAAAATCTGTTTTTATAATTTTTAGTGTTTCTGTCTTCTCCCTTCCCAAAGATGCCATCTAAAAATGGTATCTGTATGTTACCTTAGCAGGAACTCTTGTGTAGCTTCCTTCCAGTCAGTACATTTTATTATCTTTAGTTCTTGGCAGTGTGGATTGAGTTCAGTACTTACATACCCTAGGCTTAGGGCATCTTCAAGTTTAGACCTATTATAGAGTTGGTAGCTGTCGCCTATGTTAATTCTTCTCCACCAGATATCTGCTTCAGGCAGTATTATGTAGAGAAAGTATTTTAGGAATGAACCTTTTCCCCAGAAATTCCATTCCAGGGCCGAGTCTGGTGTGTGTGTGTGTGTGTGTGTGTGTGTGTGTGTGTGTGTGTGTGTGTAGGACTTAGTTCCAGGTCTTGTCTTGGAGAGCGCTCTGTGAACCCCTGAGTGCTGCGAGCACACCATGCCTTTCTTATAATATTCATGACTCTATGGACAAAGTCCTTTGGAGACTAACAGGCAGGGAGCCTCTCTTACCTTAGCCTGAGTGTGGGCAGCTGTGTTTGTTGGCTGCTGCTGCTGCTACTGTTAGGTGTTTTTCATAACATCACAGAACAGAGCACTCAATCAAGGCAAAATGGGATTTGAATGAGATTTTAAGGTGGGGTTAGCCATCTGTTAATGTTTTTAATATTGCCATTACAGTGTTTTCGTAAGAATGCGTGGAAATAACTGCATGGCAGGGAGTTTGAAATGCACTTTTTTTTTTTTTTAAATAGCTTTTAAAACTGCAAGAAATCTTTACCTGTAAGATTTCATATGTTTATAACTGCATGGGCATCTCCAAGTAAAAACAAATATACCAAGAAACATTTGTAAAACAAAATCTGTAGTGTGTACATTCTTCTCTGATGATTTCTGGTTTGTTTTTCAAAACATTGCTAATTGCAAGTAATCTGTTTTGTTCCCTGTTTTTGAAAAGCAGTGGGGTCCTGAGTTTGAATGTCTTAAGTTTTCGAAATCTGTTTGATGTTGTTGGATGTTCCTTGCTCCCTTTGTGCTCGTCTTCCTTTCCTTTTATAATTGTAGCTTAAGTGTTTCATGTTCTTTGTCTTTTTTTTTTTTTTTTTAATTCTTCCAGTAATAAAGCTGGCAAAACGTGTTTATCTCTTGGTTTTGGGCTAGGGAGAAGCCACTAAAATCTTGCCTAACTCCTTGGCTGTTTGCATGGGGTACAGGTGGATGAGAGGTGGAAGAGAGCTTTGAACAGTACTTTCCTTTAAAGAAGCGGTTCTCAATCTGTGGGTCTAATATCAGATATTTACATTCTGATTCATGACAGTAGCAAAATTACAGTTACGAAGTAGCAAAGAATGGCTCGGGTTACCACAATATGAAGAATTGTATTAAAGGGTTGCAGTACTAGGAAGGTTGAGAGCTTTAAAGATTTTTTTTTTTTATTCCTCAGAGCTGAGGACCGAAACCCTGGGCCTTGCCCTTGCTAGGCAAGCGCTCTACAACTGAGCTAAATCCCTAAGCCAGGTGCGGTGATGCAGCACCCAGGGAGGCAGAGGCAGGCAGATCTCTGTGAGTTCCAGGTCAGCCTTTGTCTACAAAGCGAGTCCAGGACAACCAAGGATACACAGAGAAACCCTGTCTCGAAAAATAAAAACCAAACCAAAGCTCTTAAAAACAAAACAAAACAAAACAAAACAAAACAAAACAACAAAACTGCCCTGGAACTCAGATCCTGTTTCCTTCTCATGAGTACTGGATTGTAGGCATGCACCACTATACCCTGCTTCCTGTAAAGATTTTATAAATTGGAGTGGCGATATAAAAGCCTGTAACAGCCAGGCGTGCTGGTGCATGTCTGTAATCCCAGCACTCAGGGAGGCCGAGGCAGGTGGATCTCTGAGTTCGAGGCCAGCCTGATCTACAAAGTGAGCCCGGGACAGCCAGGGCTACACAGAGAAACCCTGTCTTGAAAAACCAAAACCAACCAACCAATCAAACAACCAAAAAAATAAAGAAATAAACGTCTGTAACAAATGGAGAAATTTAGAAAAAAACTCCTGCCGGTATTTGCTGTTTCACTTTAGTACTCCATAGGGACTGTTTTTAGAGTTTAACACATTGTGCTTAAAATACTTAGTAACAGTTTTCTGTTAACATCCTTGGACTTGCTGCAGAGATTTTGTTCTGCACCCCACCTTTCCATTATCCTCTTCCTATTAGAAAAGACAATTAAGAGATGTTTTTCGGGGCTGGAGAGATGGCTCAGTAAAGAGTGCTGTCTGCTCCTTCCTAAAGGAACCCGGTTCAATTCCCAGCACCCACATGACAGTTCACAGATGTCTGTAATGCCAATTTCAAGGGATCTGACACCTTCACACTAAATGCACATACAATAAAAAAAAAATTAAATAAAAAAT